TAAAAAAAAATAACGTCTGTGTTTGTTCTGATGCAAGTAATTTTAATAGAAGAGTTTACAAATAGGGAATTTACAATACAAAAAGGCTTTTTTCTCATTAACTACTTGGCAAAGCAAAGTGTCTTATGTAAAACTTAAAAATAGTAGAATAGTGCCCTCTACAGGTTAGTAGGGGTACTTGTTATCCAGTTGTTCGACTGTTGAGAAACCAGTGCTCGTCATAATTGTAAGTGAAACTATTTTTCATTACAGAACAATGGTTCTGAACCTAGGGACCAGGACAAAATAGGCCCCTAAAAATGATTACAAATAAAAATTATTTACAATTTTAAAATTATTTAAAATAAAACTAAAAATCAAGATGTGAATAAGTGTGTGTGTGTGTGTGTGTGTGTGTGTGAGGGATAATGAGAGAGAGAGACGTTTGTCTATCTGCCTGTCAACATGCCCAAAGAAAACATCAGCACGGGGCCTGTTGATCAAATCCTTATGTCTGGCACTTGTCTTCTCTCGGACGAACACTCTCACCAAACTACCAGGCAGATACCAAAAGAGCCATCTGCTAATGAGAATAATCGTGACGAGCTTTAGACAAAACAAGCATGAAATGGATACAAAAGCAACACAATTTACTTGACAAGCAGAAAAGCTCTTAACAGGTTTTAAATCGAAGCAGCATTATATTAAGAGTCCACATGTCATGCGAGTTTTGTAAGCAGATCCTCCAGTCTTTATTACTTCCTCTTGTTTTCTCTTGGGGGTCTTGTGGGGAGAGAAATCTCAAGTAGGATCTGACCCCCCTCTCTGTCTCTTTTATTTGTTCCTCCTTTCTTTTGTGATTTTTATCTGTAACCAAAACAAAGTCTCAATGCTCAATGCAGTTTTAGGTGGGCTGGCCACAGTATGGCTGTATAACAGACCATTTTGAGCCAGGCTGAAACTTAAATTAATACAAATGAATGCCACGTGTGAATCCCAGCTGTCATGGCTTTGACAGGACAAAACAGACAAGGATTTGCCGTATTGTGAGATTATAACTCAAAGAGCTACTGATTCTTGACTGAACCAACATACTGAGTGTTAAGTGTGGTCTATAAAGTTAATTGTGAACCAACATGGTAACTTGGTAACATGGTAACTTAACATGGTAACTTTGCGTCTGAAAGCAAAAGAGCACAGCAGTGTTTGGCTTGCCAGGCAACACTGAGACACACATCCCTCTGCTCACCATAAAGAGACCCAAAGACCTCACTGAGGTCTTGATATATATAAATATATATATATACTTGTTATCCAGTTGTTCGACTGTTGAGAAACCAGTGCTCGTCATAATTGTAAGTGAAACTATTTTTCATTACAGAACAATGGTTCTGAACCTAGGGACCAGGACAAAATAGGCCCCTAAAAATGATTACAAATAAAAATTATTTACAATTTTAAAATTATTTAAAATACAACTAAAAATCAAGATGTTGATAAATAAGGTAGCCTATTTTAAGTGTGATTAAGTGTAATATATATACACACACAAACACACACATTCTACTGTACGAATGTGAATTTACATTTCCTTCAGCCTAAGGCTTGTTCATTTCACTTACATTTGCCAAAGATAGAAATTTGCCAAAGATAGAACTTAAACAAGCAAGCCCAGTCCAGATGAGAAATAGTAATGCAAAAGTAACATAACACATTACTTTTGCATAAAAAGTTATGCAATTCGTTACTTTTTAGGGAGTAACACAATATTGTAATGTTGTAACTTTTTGTAACATTTTGTAACATTTGACACATTACAGATTATATTTGTATCCTTTTGAGATTTTTTAATTGAAATCTTAAATATTGTAAATATAATATTAAAGAGAGAGAGCGAGAGAATTACCACAACTTAAAAAGATGGATGTTATTATTAATTTCTCTCGGTTAGGATTTACAGTGGGTACGGAAAGTATTCAGACCCCCTTAAATTTTTCACTCTTTGTTATATTGCAGCCATTTGCTAAAATCATTTAAGTTAATTTTTTTTCCTCATTAATGTACACACAGCACCCCATATTGACAGAAAAACACAGAATTGTTGACATTTTTGCAAATTTATTAAAAAAGAAAAACTGAAAAATGCTCAGTATTTAGTAGAAGCACCCATTTGATCTAATACAGCCATGAGTCTTTTTGGGAAAGATGCAACAAGTCTTTCACACCTGGATTTGGGGATCCTCTCCTTCTGTGTTTTTCTGTCAATATGGGGTGCTGTGTGTACATTAATGAGGAAAAAAAATTAACTTAAATGATTTTAGCAAATGGCTGCAATATAACAAAGAGTGAAAAATTTAAGGGGGTCTGAATACTTTCCGTACCCACTGTATGTCAAGAGTGCAAATTCATGAAGAGCTCATATTTATTCTGCTGGCTCCATCTATTGGTGAAAGGATGCATGTGTGCCCTGCATAGGCCATTATTGGATACTCCATGTATTGACCCCATAAAATCTAAATTATAGATATGTAATATTTTGTCCATGTTTGTAAACTTTGAGGCCATTTATAAGTTAATGTTGACAAACATCACTTTTAGTGGGTTTAGTAGGCCCTTTCATTTTTTAAAGAGCACAGAGACTGGTTAAGAAAAAAACAGTAAAATATAAATAAATATTTGATCTAAATGTTGCATGCAAACAATTTTATTTATGGTTCATAAATTAAATGTTGCATGCAAACAATTTTATTTATGGTTCATAAATTAAATTTTGAATGGCGTCAACTGGAAAAGATGCTGTTTAAAGCCAGATGTTATAGTTGTAGCATACACCAGCAGGGGCTAATGGGGACATCTAACCAGCCTTACCATACATGCTCTCTAGAATGATAATATCCCTCCCCTCCCTCTGATACAACCAACAAGTAGCAAATTGATGCTTCATGACTGTGAACAAAACCTATTGCCTTTTTTAAACACTCTTTGAAATTACACATTAAAACCTATTAAAACATTGTGTTTTCATGTTTTAGTAATTATTTGCTTAGCTTTGCTTTAGCTGCTTAAGCTAAATAGTGTTGTTTTCTTTGAGTATGCGTGAGCCAAGTACTGTACACTGGTCAGCATTAGCCCAGAACACAACACATCTGACATTCTGAAATTAGTATGTTCAGACATGTTTCTTTTCAGTTCAAGTACTTTTGTTGTAATGGTTGTTCAGTGGAAAGCATCTGTTCCCATTGTGTCTGTCCTCAAACAGCCAGCGCCCACCATAAAATGTAACGATCAATGTGGTGGTGCAGGATCTCAGAGATATTTTTAGTGCAATCTCTGACGTAGACATGAATAATTCATGAGCCCTGCGGTTGAACGATGGACCACGTCATGCTTTGACAGCACAATATATCAGTGACGTGAGATTATACCGTCTGCAAAAGAAAAGGCTGCATTTATTTAACATGTTTAACTTATTTATCCAGTATAATACAGCCAGAGACGCAAACCACATTACATGTGTGAAATGTGAAACACTTTACAGCTGCATTTCTGAGAGAGGAATTTCCAAGAAATAAGGCATAGGAAAACATGTTGTTCCTATCACACACTTAAGAACCGAGAGGAAAAAAGAAACCATTACTGTCCCTTTCTCTAGTGTCTGACAGAGAAAATACCCACCACAAAACTTTGTCTTGTTCCACACTTGAGACAGAGTAATCCCACATGGAAAAATACTATAGTAATTTATAGTAACTGAAACCATACTATAGTAAAGTGTATTATACTGTATATATTATAGTATTTACAACACTTTGTTAATGAATGCTACAGCATCAGTGAACTGATAAACTGTCCTACTATAGTATGGTTCAAAAACACTATAGTATTTACTATAAATTACTATAGTATTTTTTCATGTGGGATCTGTTAATTTACATACAAAAAAAACGTTTCTCACACACGTGCAAAAACCAGAAGACCCTCAGGGGAGCAAAAGTGGATGTCTCTGATGGGACAGCAGAGCGTAGGAATGAAAAACAGAGCGAGGGAGGAGAGGAAAAGCGGGTAAACAGAGGAGACTGGATTGAACCAGAGTTCCAAAAACACGATCACGCTGAGGAGAGCGTGAGGAGAGAAGTGAAAACGGAGAACACCTGGAAGAGGGGGAGAGACTGAACCGGCAAATAGAAGAAAAAGAAAAGCAAACAAATATGACAGGAACACAGAATTTAAAGGAATAGT